ACAATAGTGCATACAGCAGCCAAAGGCAGCCGAAGCACACAGCCGAGCTGAACGCATCTGCTTCGGCTCGGCACAGAACTGGACCGACTTGCTGCAAGTTTGTAAAAGATAAGATAAAAAACCTGTGTGGGGTCCCCTGCCAATTCATAACAGATCCTTTAGGTCTATTAGGAATGTTAGAAGGCACTCCTAGATCTGGTAGGAGTTTTAAGAGGTACCCCAACACCCAAAAAATGAAAAGAAAAAAAAACCATGGGGTCCCCCTAAAATTTCAAACCAGACCCTTAATACTTTTCCCTGCCACTGATGTAAGACTCAAGGCAGAACACAACTGCTTGCAGCTGGCCAGCTCAGTAACCCTTACGTCGGTTGCTTTCTCCCTTTTGCTATAAGCTCATGGTCATTTTATCAAACCCCCCCACTGTACCATACCAGGCCACATGCCCTCGGCATTAGGAGGGTGCATGTCTCCATGCCAATGAGGACAAGAGCCTCTTCCCCACAACCCTGGCCCGGTGGTTTTGGGGGCCTATGGGCAGGGGGGCTTATCTGCATCTGGGTAACCCTTTCATAAAGGGGGCACCCAGATGCTGCCCCCCTTGTGAATGAGTAAGGGGTGGTTGTTACCCCTACTTATTCACCAAAGAGTTAAGTGAAAAGTAAATAAATGAACAACACTTTAGAAAAAATCCTTTAATTGAACAAAAAACACAAACATGGTTTCTGACAAGTTTTGTCACTTTTCATTCTGTTCGCTGCCTCTGAGGTAGTGAACAGAATGAGCAAGCCAAATGTGAGCCGAATGCTATTCACTCTCTGCTGTTCGGAGAATATAGTTTACTGTACTACCGTGTTTCCCCGAAAATAAGACCTACCCCGAAGGTAAGACCTAGCACTATCTTAAGAGATTCCTGTAATATTCCCCCCCCCTCCCCCCACACACACACACACACACACCCCACACACACACCTGTCTGCCTCGGCTTTTATGGTACATAAAGAGATGCCGCTAAAACTACATTTCCCAGCAGGCATGGCCAGTGGGGTCGGAGTGAGGTCAGGGTAGGGTGAGGGAACTTCTGACTGGAGGTCCGTGCGGCGAGGTGGTTCCCTGGATGGCATCAGAGAGGAGAGCTCCAGGACAGCTGCAGCCTGCAGGTACTGTGACAGTATTTTTTAATTTTGTTGCACATTAAGGCCTCATTCACACACAACGCAAGCAAAATTGTATATTGCGTATATACGAGCGTCTATATACGAGCGTATATGCGCGTATAATACGAGCGTATATGCGTGCACTATATGCAATCCCAGAATGCATCACTCGGAACGGAATTTTTAATGTGCTGTACGCATATACGCGCGTATATTCGCATAAATACGCATAAATACGCTGCCTGGACGCATCTCTGTTCCATCGTTTTTGCGCATATATACGCTACGCAAATATACGGCTCCATACGCTGCTATGTGTATGGAGCCATTCATTTGCATATGTTGCATATGGTACAATACGCACGTATACATGCGGCAGTGTGAATGAGGCCTTAAAAAAAAAAAAAGACATACACCGAAAATAAGACCTAGTGTGTTTTTTGGGGGGGGGGAAATATAAGACGGTGTCTTATTTTCGGGGAAACACGGTACTAATTAAAAAAACATAATGTTATCAAACAGGAGAGTAGGGAAGGCGAGTAGGGAAGGCTGCACCTAATTCTTCCAGTGGTGGAGGTATTATTTTTATTTTGGAAATGTCATATTTAAGCCCTACTTTAATCCCATGTCTTCCCATTTCAGTATCTTAGAACATCACTCTGTGTGACAATCTTCTTTCATTGTAAACTGCTCATTGTGTTACTTTTGCAGTGCGTATGTAATATAGGTGTGTGAGGCTACTTCCCCTACCTACCGATTTTGCAGCATATGGAAGACATGAGAAAAATTCCTGAACGCACCTGACTTCTATGTTTTCAAAACGCAGCTAAAATGACTGCAGATAAAAGCATCTAAATGCAAAGTGAATAGATGCATTGGAATTCATTAGATGCATTAACCCCTTCATGACTGAAGCCTTTTTTTCATTTTTTGCACCCATGTTATATTCCACATTTTAGGCCTGGAAATTACTTAAAACCCCCCAACATTATATATTTTCTGAATTCCAAGACCCTATACAATATAATGGTGGTAGTTGCTAATTTTTATGTTGCGCAATATTAGCGCAACTCCTTATTAAACCCCAAAATTTAGTGATAAATTTAATTAAATGCCCCAAAACACAACAAAATACCCATTTTTTAAATACGTAGGCGCACCCGACGCGTGTTTACGTGGCGACGCGCATGCTCGCGCGGGCCGGGGACTTTTAATTTTTTTTAATTATTATTATTAGATTTATTTACTTTGATTTTAATTTTAAAAACAGTTTTTTTTTGGTTGTTTTACTTTTCTTTGACTGCTATCACATGGGTGGGCTTACAAGCCCCCCCCATGTGATAGCAGATGGTGGTGACAGGTACTCTTTAAGGTGATGCTGGGGGTCCAAAAGACCCCCAGTGTCACCTTTAAACTGCAAATAAGCTATTGAAGTGCAGATCGCACTTCAATAGCTTAAAGCTGGGCTGCAGGAGCCCAGAACTGACAGCCCAGGGACCGGAAGTGATGCAATCTGCATCGCTCCCGGTCCCATAGAACGGGGAGGGGATCGATGAACGGAAGTTCGTCGACCTCCTCCCCAGCTCCCCGCGGACACCAAGGACGCCGGTCCCGGGCCCGTAGGAGGGGCAACTGAGCCCGGGAAGCACGGTGGCGGTGTCCGGGGCGGGGGGGGCGGCCCTTTCTTCGGGACACAGAAGCGATCTGGCGACAGGTAAGTCGCCAGTATCGCTTCTGTTGTAAAGCCGACAGTTGGCTCTACAAGTTTAAACAGACTCCTGGCGGCAAAAGTCGCCAGGAGTCTGTTTAAACAGCCCCGATGCTGGCGACGTACACTGTACGTCGTCAGTCACGAAGGGGTTAAAGGAGAACTATGAGGTGAGTGTTTTTCACTCATCCTCATAGTTCTAGCCGACCTGTGACAATGAGACTGTCACAGGTCGGATCTGGAGGTGAGCGAACACATACCGGGGTTCTCTCACCTCTCTATCCTGTCACGGCTCTCTGCCGTGACAGGGGAGGGGCTGGATTCCCCCCTCCGATCCTCCGGCACTGACTGGCGGAACGGACGGAGGAGGGTACAGCTCGCCTCTAGATAGGCAGAGCCAGCTGTCACTCACGCAGCTAGGCGGATCCAGACATAGTTGTCGGGATCCGCTTCAGCTGCGGCGTCTCAGTATATCGCGAGCGGTGGCTCGCGGTATACTGAGCTTAGGGTGACGGGAGAACGCTAGTTTGTGTCCTCCCGTTACCCTAAGGAGAACTATGGGGAAAAGCCCTAACCCCATTGTTCTCCTTTAATATGTGTTTAGAAAATCATTTTAAATGCATATAAGTGCATCCAATCGCACCTAGTATGAATGTAGGCTAATGGTCCAATGATGTGTGCATTGTTGTTAGAAAATGTTATTGCATGCTTAGACCCTCCGACCAGATGTTATTGCTGTCTGTGTCTAAGTAGGAGAGGATTCATCCCTCTATTGTACTGGTGATCAGTATCACTGAAACGTGATAGTGATGGGAATTCTAGAACAAAAGATGAGGGGAAGTCTTTCAATGGGAACTCCTGTTTAAGAGTGTAGTTCCCTTCACTTTGGGAGATTAAGGCTCCATGCACACAGGACTATTATGTACAACTGCGCAGTTCTGCAGCACTGGCTAGCCACATCTGTCTGTGGCTGTGCGCGTTATCGTACATGGAACGATTACCTGTGGACAGATGCAGCCACCTGAATTGGCACAGTGGCTGCCTATGAATGGACACACAGAATATGGAATTCCTGCCTCAAGAGTCCACAGGCATCCCCATCCATGTATAATAGCCCTGTGTGTATGAGGCCTTAAGTAACACTAAACTCAGGAGTTAAATCTTAAAAATGCATTCAAGTACCTTACCTTACTATTAACAAAAATTTATCTTATTAGTACATCACTCGGCTGTAGATCCTCAAATCATCTCTGAATTGGTGCTGACACTGTCCTTCCTTCTGGAGGGTGGCTACTTTTGCTCCCCATGATTCCTGTGTGTGTTGTAAAGTAGACACCGCCCCAAGCTCACTCTAGTGATGGACTACAATGTCAATATAAATTAGTAAACTAAACATGAGATTGTAGTCCATCACAGGAGCGAGCTTGGAGCGAAGGCTACTTTACAATACACAAAGGGAACAAAAGTAGCCACCCTCCACAAGGAAGGACAGTGTTGGCACCAATTCAGAGATGATTTGAGGATCTACAGCCAAGTGATGCACAAAAAAGGTCCAGTATTGTTTATAGTTAAGGTACTTGAATGTACTTTATTTTTAAGATTTAACTCGAGTAGGGGTGGATATCAGCTGCATGTTAATATCCACCCAACCCCCCTCTCAATCCTCAGGGCGGGGGGGGGCACCTCCCTGAAATTAGTCTTTGCAGATTGGGATGTTTGCCATGTGATGTGGTACGATGCATTTTAATACAAAAAGCGCAATTTGGCTGCGGTAAGCAGCCTATTGATATGAATGGTCTGTCTACCGTAGGGTACCACAAGGCACGATGCAATGTATACTCTTTTTGCAGAGGGCCCAAGCTAAGGAGAAATGTATACTCTCCTACAAATAACTAAATAATCTTGTTCCTGCTCTTGAATGACACTGAGAATACATATACAAACACGCTCGGCTCATGGTGACACTGCTGAGTTGAATTCTACGCTATTTGCCAGTAGTATATATGGCTTCGGCCGCCTAGGGCATGCAAGATCACATGACGCTCGCTTAGCCCCGCCCCTTCAGCTTCTGATTTCTTTAGGTGCGCCGTTGCTCTCCGTTGCCTAGCCTGAATCAGGCGCCGGTTCTGGGTACATAATGGCGCTCTGCTTCTGTTCTGTATTGGCTCGACACTGCCGGACTCTGAGGGACATAACTACAGCCTCCCTTCGGGTTTCTGCTACGCCTCGCCATGTGACACGCCGTGGCAACCATGGCGGGTAAGTGCGTGATTACGTCGTGTGTGACGCCATTGTGCGTGATTCCCGGCTTCAGTCCGCAGGTGCTGGGTAACAAAGACCTTCGTGCCTGTGTCACCTTTATGGGGGATAGTGTCAGGGGGGCAGATAAGTGCAGCTCTGGGTCACGTGTGCTGACTGTTTATCTATAATACATAATCAGGGAAGACATTGGGGTAAGTCATGAAAACTGGAGTTGTGCATAGTAACCAATCGGCATCTCTCTTCATCTTGTTCATTTAGGCTTTGACAATGAAATCTAGAAGCTGATTGGTCACTATGCACAGGGGTTTTAGTAAATACACCCCAAAGTCTGCATTGGTATATATGCCCAATTAGAGCTGCTTTATGAATTGAGAGCAAAGGCAAAATAGGGAATTCCTTTATAGTCCTGACCCAGTTATATGGTTACAGAGGTTGAAAAACGACACATGTCCATAAAGTTTAACCAGACAAGAATAAACGACAACCTTCCTCATTAGAACCCTCAACCTGCTGTTGATCCAGAGGAAGGTAACCGCCTTTAGGTCCCATACACGCTTGGAATGGACCGATTGGATGAATCTTACGAATTGCTCCCTGAGACTTATGCAAACAACTGTGGACGAGAAGCACTATACAGAATGACCACTGACCGTGCCTGCGGCTGCTTGCATTTCATTGGACGTGCTGCGAGTATCCACTGACGATCGACCCTGGGCGCAAACTGCTTGTGTTCATGGAAGACCGTCTGCAGGTGATCACAGAATGTCCATTGACATGCGAGCGTGTGCAGACAGCCGCCATCGCTTTGTATAGCGTTTCCAGACCACAGCTGTTCATGTGAGTCTCGTGGAGCAGTTTATGAAACAAATGTAATCTGCTGCATTGGCAATGTGAATGAGGCCTTATAAAGCATAGTCCAGTTTGCTTTAACGGTCAGTCCACACTGGCAACAACCAATTCAAAAGTGCTTTGTGGCTCATGCTTCCTCAGTGGTCTTATATTTGGGACAACAGTGAAGGTAATTAAATATTACAATTCTTGGGGATTGTCATTGGGGTGAGGGATAAGGCCTTGGCTCATCCACGTCTCCTAGCACTGGACATTGTTGAATTGAGAGTTCATCACCAATGACTGCATCCTGTCTGCGTTCCAGCGGTTAATAATCTTCAGCGTGAACATTCCACAGTGGGAAATTCAATTTTCCCCCCTATGGACCAGCTGAAGATCTTTCCTGTGAATTATTGGCTAAACAATTAGGTTTTGTTTTTTTTAATGAGTAGCAGGTTATAGATTAGGGCCCCTTTGACATGATCGGAGCGGTACGGATCGGATGCCACTGCTGTGACATCTGTGTCCATCCAGTTTTTTTTCCTCCATCTTGTGATGGAGGAAAAACCTGAAATGATCAGACCCTATGTCGGCCTATGGCAGTGGTTCTCAACCTTTCTAGAGCCAGGACCCCTTGATAACATTTACCAAGTTGTGGTGACCCCCAACTAGGGTTGCCACCTTTTTTTTTTTCAAGCAAAACCTGAACATGGCTTATTCTTATGTAAATAGTGCCACCCATTCATATGTAAATATCACAGTTGAGACTATTTTCAGTGGGGGTCCAGTAGCCCCTATCTTAATTTTGGTTGCCCCTGTGTGCCTGACATCTTGTGTCCAGGATTCAGTTTCCATGAAACCCGGATACGGCATTCAAAACCCGGACTGTCCGGTTCAATCCTGGACAGGTGGAAACCCTACTCCCAACAGTAAAATTTAAGGATGCACCAATACTAGTATCTGTGCAGGCTTTCAGGTAGCCAGTGTGGGCTCTCTCTCAGTCATTGCTGCCAGGGCGGGCTATGTGGTGGTCAGTGTGGGCTCTCCTCGCAGTCACTGATCACCGACACTCCCGCCCGCTCCCCTCTTTGATCCTCCCCGGCCAACTGACACTGCTGCACTAGGAGGAGGCTGAGGAGCCTCTCACCTAGCACAGCACAAGGCTCTGGCGATCCCCCTCAACTGTGGATTGCGAACCCATGGTCTATTTGGAATCGAATGTAAACGGACATGTGTCCATTTACATCAGATTACCCCCGATCTGGTAAGATCAGGTCCGGCAAAACGGAACAGTGATCTGTTTGTTTTTTCCGAACCTGGCCAGAGTCAGGGGTAAACGGACGCCTCTCCATTTAGACCTGGCTGCTCATAGACTTACATTGGGCATCTGATCGCGTCTGCTTAACAACGGACAGGTGGAACCGATGGGACTGCCTGTGTGAAAGGGGCCTAACATCGTTAACGCCACTGCTAAATGTGTTTTGCTTGCATCCCGGATGGTTTAATAGAAAGGTATATCACGACTCTTCAACTAAGTTGTATCAGCTAAACATAGACCTGAATGTATAGATCATCAAGCGTGCATGTTCTTATGGTTGGTCCATAGGTGTTTAGCTGCCTTTTACTATATTATACTTTAGAAGATGGTGCCATAAACTCATCTGTGTTTCCACTGCCAGGTCTGTGAAATTCTTATAAGTAGTATCCTTGCTTGAGCGCACTCATCTACATCACAAATGTGTTCTATCTTACAGAGTTGTTACCTTATCATACGACCTGTATGAAGGCCGGACACCTGCACCGCCTCTAGTTTTACTTCATGGATTATTTGGTAGTAAGTCCAACTTTCAGTCTATCTCCAAAGTCTTGGTGCGCAAGACTGGCAGAAAAGTAAGTGCACCCCGCGTTAGAGTTTTACATGGTTGTTAATTGTAGCCAAAAACTGTTGGAAAATGAAAAGAAGAAATGTTGTAGGATATCATAGAAAATTTCAGTTTGGGGAAGTATTAGGGTTCATGTCAAGGGGGGATGGGGGGTCTGTGTCTTTCATTCTAAGATGCGCATTTGGAGGACCAGTATTTTCTACACTCTCCATAACATAGAGTGGTGGTGATCTGTAGGTAACCTGCCTGTGTCTGGGACCACAAAAAGAGAAGGTCATTGTTAGTACATATGTGTTAAGGCAAAAACTCCAGGGAACATTATTAGTAACCTTTGCAGCGGGACTAGCCCTGCACTGCAAGGGTTAACTGCTCGTTGTGGTCTAGGGAGGGAAATAGTTATAATAACCTGAGCCTACTTGCTCTTAAGGTGCCCATACACTGCTCGATTCTCGTACGAGAATCGCGGGAAATCCCGCGATCGTACGAGAATCGAGCAGTGTGAACGGAGACGTGCGACCGTTTCTACTGTACGGTCGCACGTCTTCCGTCGAACCAGCATGTTCGAAAACCAGCCGGGAATCGTACGATTCTCGGCTGGTTAGAACGGTGCTCGGAAGACAAATGCCGAACGGGCCGGTGTGCGCACGCGCACACTGCCCGTTCAGCATTGCGGTCATCGGAAGCCCGCCCCTCAGGGGGGCAGGCTTGCGATGATCGAGAGTGCGATCTGCCTGTCCAAGATAGGCAGATTGTACCTTTTTTTTTAATCCCTTTACAACCATCGCAAGACTAAGGTCTTGCGTTGGTTGTACAGTGTATTGCCACCTTTTAGAATGGTGCCTGGAGCACCCCCTCTGTAATGGTCCTCTAAATCATAACGTTCTATATACTGTGTATAGGACATAAGGGAGCAGAGGAACATTCCATTGCTGCAGAAGAGGAGGAGACACAGCCGGCTCAGAGGAGTGGGTGAGTTTAGCTTTGTTATTTTCCTCCCTACATCAAAATGTAGTTTAATTCTTGCAATGCAGGGGTAGCCCTACTGCAAGGGTTAATAATAATGTTCCCTGGAGTTCTGCTTTAAAAACAGCCATTTTTTCCTCACAGCCACCAGTCCAATTCAGATTTTTAGATTCCAATTGTTCTTTTCCAGCACATGAGTAAACCTGATTGGTCGGTGTAGGGAAATATTGACAATTGTTCATACTAACGATAGTGACTGAGTAACAGACGCCTCATGTCTATGTGGAGAGTTATAAAATATCCCGTACATACATGTGTTATGGTGCTCATGTTGTTGTGTTGTTTCTTATGTCTTTCAGGTTTTGGCATTAGATGCCCGTAATCATGGTAGCAGTCCTCATAGTGATGTCATCACCTACCATGCAATGAGTGCCGACGTGCGGCAGCTCCTGCAGCAACTTGAAATACCTAGATGTGTTCTAATAGGTCATAGTATGGGAGGCAAGACTGCCATGACGTTGGCACTGCAGGAAGTAAGCTGTGATTTGTCTTTGTTCTCTTGTCTGCAGATTCTAGAGTATTGCTAGAAATCTTACATGACATCAGTTGCATCAGTTCTAATAATCTGTGTTGTGCTTTATTCCAACAATGACTGAGTCCTTATTTCAATTCAATCTACTTTAACCAGTTCTGTTTAATGTGTGCATGCAGTGCAATGTTTTACTTTTCTTTTCAGTTACTTAGGATTCGTTCATGTTGACCATGAACCAAATGTGTTCCATTAACTTCCCATGAAGAAAACAACGGTGAAGAAGAAAATAGTCGTTTTCCCTATACATCCAATACATACAATTGTCACAATGCATTACAAATTCTTCCAAAGACATGAGCTTTCTAACCAGGCCTCGAAATTTCCACACGCCCCCTCCCAATTGGCGAGTGAAAATTGCGTGGGGGCGAGTGGAATGTCATCGAGGGTGTGCGACCAGGGATGAGACACTACCGCCGCGGCGATTGCTCACTTCTCTTCTCCTTGGCCGCTGCAGCTACAGAGCGGCCGAGGAGGAGAAGAGAGAACAGAAGCTAACGATCGCCGCGGCGGTAGTGTCCCATCCCTAGTCCCGCCGGCGGCGCACCCCCTTGATGACATTCAGTTCCGTTGTCTTCTGCAGCTTCCTCCGCGCACCTCGGCTGCCAGGCTGGGAGGAAGACTGCAGAGACACTGTTGGCCCAGCCAGGAGGTTATGCAAGGGGAAAATTGCTGACCTCTGCACTGCCCGTCACGCTGACCTCTGCACTGCCCGTCACGCTGACCTCTGCACTGCCCGTCACGCTGACCTCTGCACTGTGCGTTACATTACTGGCCTCTGTACTGTGCGTTACATTACAGCTGGCCTCTGTATTCGGCATTGCATCACTGACTTCTGTACTGTGCATCACACCGCTGACCTGGCGGAGTTAAGGCCGTGGCAGGGTAGGGGTAAGGTGGGGCAACTGGTGGCGAGTAACTGTTAAGGCCTTGCTAGCAGCTCAGGACTTGAAATTTTGAGCCCTGCTATCCAGTCGTTTTGTAGATTAGAGTATTAGGGTGAGCAGTATTTGGGATCAATTACCAGTATGTTTCTATGCTTACTAACCAATCATTTATTTGCATTAATTTTGTTACAGTAAATAAATACCTCAAGATGCCCATACACTGATGTAGTTCGGAAATCATCCACGAATGATAATCGATCAGTTGATGGGACACCACCGATTTTAATTACTGTGCTCCTGGCTGAATTTCCTCGGTCAGGCTGGAAAACATTTTTCTAATCATACGAAAAGCAATGCATTAGTGGCGTTTTCATAGGCAAAAAAATGCAGCAAGAACACTGCACATGTGCAAACGAAAATCCGTTCTGTCGATCTATGAAATTCGGTGTGTTAGTATTGCTAACGAACGATTATCAAAATCGGCATTGGTGATGGGCTATTTGAGCTAGAATCGAACAAGGGTCCTTGGCAGCAATTAAAAACTTCCGATCAAAAATCTATTGGTGTATGGCCAGCTTAACACTTAGGGGGCAATTAATCAAAACTGGAGCAGACAAAATCTGGAGCAGTCACCCATGGCAACCAATTGACTTCTCTGTTCAGTTTGTTCACTTAAGATTTGAAAATGAAAGCGAGAAGCTGATTGGTTGCCATGCACAGCTGCTCCAGATTTTCTCTGCTCCAGTTTTGATAAATCCCCCTCTTAGTATTTGAGAACTATGGCACAACTTTTTAGGGTCACAGGAGGACATGTACTAATGTCCTTCTGTGACCCAAAACTCAGCATATAGCGATCGGGATCCAGCCCGCTGGCTGATTGACAGCTGGCTCTGCCTCTTTTAGTACAGTTACCCTTTAAATGCATGGCCCCCTCCCAAAGCAAGGAGTAGATGCTGGGGGGGAGGAAAGTGCTGCATTTAAAGGGTAACTATAGTAAAAGTACAGTTTTTCTTTAGGTGATCATTAATTGCCACATGGTCACATTGCCACAAGACAGAACGTTAAAGGGACATGTATAGTCGTTTTGTTAATACAGTATTTCCTTTTATGTATCAGTGATCAGGACTAAAAAATACATTTTCAATAACATTTGTATGCATGTTTTTGATGCAGAAAAAGTGCAGCATGTTGTACTTTTTTTTAAAAGCTTTGGAACTGAACGCAGTGGTGTGAACTAGCCGCATTTAAAACCATTGGAACTACTGTGTATGCCTTTTTTGGTGCAGATAAAAAAAACCAATCTGATCTGGAGATGGTGTGAACAGGCCCTTGGGCTCAGTTGCATGTTTTCCTGTATCTCCTCTGCTGTTTTACAGAGCTCAATTGCTCAAGCTAACATTTTACACATGTACACACGTGTGAATGAGTAGTGACTCCTCCCCTCTCACCCTACACTCTGTACTGTATTTCTGTATCTTTTTTTTTTTTTTTATTTGTTACAAAATCAGATATAAAATCTGCATATAAAACTGTACATATCATTGACTCAGAACCATTATCGTTGCCCTTTAAGAACCTAAAATTGGCACAACATTGTTGGTCATTTTGGATTACATAATGGGAGACTGTTTCACTAATTACTACTCTAGTGTGTAGAGGGAAGAAGAACTCTGCTAGGAAGAGTGTTGATATATTTAAGTTATGCTATGGTAGCCTTTTTTACCTAATGGGAGCTTCTTGGTTAGTTACCATTTCTGTTTTGGGATTTTTTCATCTAATAACCTCCATGCAGCAGTTAAATTAATAATAATAATAATCATTTATTATTATAATAATGCAAGATTTATATAGCACCCACAGTTTGCGCAGTGCTTTACAAAATGGGACAAGGCAATACAGTTACAATACAGTTTCAGTGCAATAGGGTTAGGAGGGACCTCCTCATTAGAGGTTACAATCTAGTCTAGGCATATGTCTAACCGTTTACTGTATATATGTACCTAACAAAGATGAAGACGTCTGAAGGTTCTCATTCATCCAGGTCATGGTATATCTGTAAAAAATAAATCAAAGCAACTGGACTTGCTGTATTTTTCTTTCGCTGGTCATCCATTTCTGAATTGAGAAAGCTAGTTGGATGACCAGCGAAACGTGTTGAAGAAAAATACAGCAAGTCCAGTGGCCTTAATTGACTTTTTATAGATAAAGATGAAGACGCCATTTGGTGAACTAGCCGTAAACTCGTATTGCATTTCCAAGTAGTCCTAAATGCAAATGTTCAAATAGATCTAAACCAAGTCAGTAAAATCTCAGAAGCTTTAACAAGTTAATGTTGTCTTCCAGGTTGTTTTTGAATCCTTTTAAACATGCAGCTTTTTTTAGAGTGATACCTAGTTATCCTACTATGACGTTATTTGTTCAGACATTTCCTGTTATAAGGTGACAATGGTTTTCCAGTTGCATTCCTACATTGCCACCATGTCACATTTACCTTGAATGGAGACTACAAGCAGTCGTGCTGACACACTGCTCAGGCATGGTCCACTGTTGTCACTATCAGGAAGCAACTGCAGAGCAATGATGTGCAACCAATGCTGGAATGAGTACATGTAGGCAACAAGTAGATTAGAACTTCAACACTGAGATGAAAACACGGTGAAAACAGTATTTTATGAAAAAACATATGGTAATTTTTTAATACACTAAAGTAACTAAATGTTATCCCGATTTAGTGTTTAGATCTACTTAGAGCTAAGTAATAACACATTTGTGGAGAAAATGCTAGAACAACCCAGAACATAATTTGTGTGTCTATTAAAAAAATGCATGTGATGGCATTGTCAGGGAGAGGACTGTGATTCCTTTGAAAGTTAAATAATACTTGCAATTATTACATTTTACACGTTTCTTGAGATACATGCACTTCCACAGGTCCACTTTGAGTTAACATTTAGGCATAGATGTACTGTATTTTGAATAGTACAACATGTGGTGTCAATGGAGACCTTAAAAGACATGTTACATAAAACAAATACAATAGTTGGCAGTTATGAGATTATATGCATATCCAACCATTCTCTGTTGTTTTCTATTCCTCAGCCACAACTGGTGGAGGGATTGGTATCAGTGGACATTAGTCCTTCTCCCACAACACCCCAGTCTGGTTTTCCCCGGTTCATTAAAGCAATGCAGAATATACATTTGGAAGGGAAGATGCCAAAGTCAACAGCTCGAAGACTGGCAGAAAACCAACTTCGTGCCACAGTAGAGGTAGGGAAATTTCTTCTTCCTTCTTTTTTTTCCATAATTCTGCTAATGGATAAATGACCCTGGTGTTACATACTGTATAAAATAGGGAAGCACAGTGGCGTAGTAGTTAGTAGTTCTGCCTTAAGGTCCCCACACACCTTACGATAATCGCGGGAAATCCCGCGATCGTACGATTTATCGTAAGGTGTGTGGAAGCCGTGCGACCTCTACTACTGTAAGGTCGCACGACTTTGAACTTACGGACATGTTCGAAAACCCGCCGAGCATCGTACGACGTTCGGCGGGTTTGTGGCATGTCCGTACGATAACAGCCGTACACTGCCCGTTCGCCATTGCGGTCATCGGAAGCCCGCCCCTCGGAGCGTGGCTTGCGATCATCGCAAGTACGATCTGCCTATGCAAGATAGGCAGATCGTACGGTTTTTTTTAGAACCTTACAAACATCGCAAGACAAAAGTCTTGCGATGGTTGTAAGGTGTGTGCCCAGCATTAGATCAATATTTTGAATCCCGGGCAGTACACTATCTGCAAGGAGTTTGGATGTTCTCTCTGTGCTGGTGTGGGTTTCCTCTGGGTAGTTTGGTTCCCTCCCACACTCCAAAGACATGCTGCAAGGTTAATTGGCTCCTGTCTAAATTGGCCCTCATATGTGAGCTCCTTGAAGGCAGGGACTGATGTATGTGTGCAATATGTAAAAGCGCTGTGTAAAATTGTCAGCGCTATATAAATACCTGTAATAATGGTAATAAAATAAATACGCTGTACAACTCGCAGTCTGATGGTGTTTCCAAAGGAAAGCAGTCGTTAAATGTTACAGCTTCACAACTTTTTTTTTTTTCTTCACTCATTTTTTTGTAAGCTGATTTTAATTCCTCTTTTAAGAGCCCCACTATTAAATCGATTACTTTTGCTATTATAATTGTATAATATGAATTAAATGATTACATTTTGAATTTGGGAGAAGTTGCAAAGCAGTTGTGATGTGAAACCTTACACATCAGAGTTTGTAAAAACCCACTGCTGGTGGTGGATATAGTGGTATGCTGTGTTCAAGTGAGTGGTGATGTCCCGCATGGACAACGAGAACAAGCAGCAGCTCATGTTCTGAACTGGAGGAGTCCAGTGGAAAATTAGATGGAGGCTTAAGAAATGTCAGATACTCCAGAACTAAGAAAAAAAAGTTTGATTTTATGTTATGAAGTGTAAAGTATAAGTCAAGTTGGCATAGTTTTACACTTTGGAGTTTTCTGAATAAATCTATAAGGGTCCATTAATACTTAAAGGGACACTAAACTCAGGAGTTAAATCTTAAAAATACATTCAAGTACCTTAACTATTAACAAAAATGTATCTTATTTGTGTATCACTCAGCTGTAGATCCTCAAATCATCTCTGAATTGGTGCTGACACTGTCCTTCCTTCTGGAGGGTGGCTACTTTTTTTTTTTCCCCCATGGTCCCTGTGTGTGTTGTAAAGTACTCACTCCCGTGATGGACTATAATCTCAATACAAATGAGTAAACTAAACGTGAGATTGTAGTCCATTACAGGAGTGAGCTTGGAGCAATGACTACTTTACAACACCATTGGGGAACAAAGGCAGCCACCTCCAGAAGGAAGGACAGCGTCAGCACCAATTAAGAGATGATTTGAGGATCTACATTATCTTTGGAAATTTAATAGTCTGGTGATATGAGAGATGCAGACTACTGGACAGACTTGTGGAGGTATATACAGTATGAAAGTATTCATTATTTTTGTTAAGAGGTTGGAGTTACAGTTTAACTCCATTGATCAGAATATGTACTTTTAAGCAGATCACATTGACAAGTATAATACAAATTCGCTTCAGTTATCAGTGTAGAGCTGGGGTAGCAAACCTCTGGCCCTCCAGCTGTGGTGCAACTACAAATCCCATGAGGCATTGCAAGATTCTCACAGACATGACTCCCGGAGAGAGATGCATTATGGGATTTGTAGTTTCACCACAGCTGGAGGGCCGGAGGTTTGCTACCCCTGGTGTAGAGAGTTCCTAATAATATATAGGGCTTTCATTTCAGAAGTGGCCATTAAATGCTTCATCTCCATGCTCGTGTTTTCAGCCTTAAAAGTTAGTTCACAAGGTAATAGATTTTTTTTATATTATGCTTCTCTTCTGATAACAGGCATGTGGACTGTTTTTGTATGACAGAAGCCTGCCGGAAAAACTGCAAGTGGTTTTACTGAGACGGACCAGCCGTCAGGATGAGCGCCTCCTAGTGCTACAGGAGGAAGCGCTTTCAATGTCTAAAGCGCTGCACACACATAGTGCGCTTCTCCCTGCTGATGGATCAGATGAGCTCATTGGCTATGACAGAGAGCACACTGCACATGTGCGGCCCTTGGAGAAAGGACGGTTCTCCATCCTGTATGGTCATCCTAACAGCTGGTCCATCCTAGTAAGAAGACTAGACGAAGCCATAAAAACAATTTGCCGTTTTTCCGGCAGGATTCCGGCATTGCAAAAACAGCCTACAGGTATGTTAGCAGAAGAGAGGCATCATTTTAAAATCTGATTTGCTTAGATTGATGGTGTTCTGTATAGTGACATGATAGAGTGTTTGTTTGTTTTTTTAAGGTGAACTAACCCTTTAAATTGAATGGAAAACATAGTTCTTATATGTTGTTTATAGGTATGTTTTTGTTATAACCAGAAGAGATTTATAGAATGGTTGTAGGTTAAATCTTTTTCAGGTTTTAATTTGTATTGCATTAAATGCAGGAAGCATCAGTACGTCAATTTCTCCTCACAAACTTGGTGCAGGAGAATGAGAATTTCAAGTGGAGAGTGAATCTGGAGGCTATTGCAAACCATCTGCAAGATCTGTTTCACTTCCCTGACTTCCAGGAGCCTTACCCTGGGCCCGTACTGTTTCTGGGAGGGGCTAACTCTCCTTATATCAGGTAAGAGCCCAATCAGCTTTACAAATTCATTGGCTTCCCTTTTAACAACACGACTCCTTTTGTTTGTACTGTAAAAAATGAGGCAATACAATTAAGATCTTTAATCCACATTGTATTGAATACCTTTCTATAGTAGCAATGCGGTTTGTTCTCTTTTTTTTAACAGATAGATACATGAGTACCGAGCATAGAGAACTTATTACAGCACAAATATTAACATTTGAAACATAAGCGGTCTCATAGAACAGTATAGAGATCCATATCACATGGATTAATGCTACGTCTATGTATACCTATAATCAGATATATGCTTTAAACATGGTCTCGAGACTGAAAAGTATCGGCTGTCTAAGCGAACAACAACTTATACATACTGATCATTGTGTGGGACGTGCCCACCTCTGTTTGTTCTCTTTTTATATTAGAATTCTCATTATATTTACCTAACTCTAGGAGCTTATTGATAAACAGTTTGGCTATAACAGTGAATCTTTCCCAGTGCATGTCATAGGGTTCCTGTGCGATCCATCCCATTTAATATCTGCATTATATATCAGCTTTGTAAAAGTGTTGTGTGTTTTGTTTTTTTGACACTGCTAATAAATCAGAGATGATTAGAAATAGCATGTAAAGGTAAGCTTTAAGTAATACATGTGGTGCCCATAGCAACAAACCAGAATCCATTTTGTATAGTATACGTGTGACGTCAGTAACGAGAGTGTTGATTGGTCTCTCTGGGTTATAGCATTTTGCACTTCTTGCTTTCTTACACTGTCTGGTTAAATCTGATTGGCACTAATAGGCATATATCTTAACAAGTACAATATCTAAGCTGGGTGAAGAAATGTTTCTCCATGTACCTGTTCACTGTTCTGGTTTCCTTTCTTATTTTACACTCTATAATGTTCTGTAAAGTCTGTAAAAAAAACAAGCCTTTTTTTTTTTTTTTTTTTTTACTTTGAACAGCTCTGAAAATTACCCTGAAATAGAAAGACTTTTCCCATGTGCAAATATTGAGTATATTGAAGGGGCAGGACACTGGGTACATGCAGAGCGGACACAGGACTTCATCAACTCTATCTGCACCTTTGTACAAGAAATGACACCAAGCCAAACATGATCTCCTAAGTGCAACTCTAGAGGCATCTCCACAGTGACTCTAAGGGTAGGTGTATATGGGCAGCTGAAGACCACCTACGCCTGCATCTGGTTCTGCCCAGTGAAGCCTAAGCGGTAGCCTAAGAAATCCATCCCCTGTCACCCATATACACTTACTGTAGAGAGTAATACAGCATCAAGGTGAAAAGACTGTATAGCAGTATTTGATTGTTTACAAACTGTCATTGTTGTGTATTAGATAGTTTAACTTATTGTCATATTTAAATTTAGTGTAACTGAACTCTAGAAGCCGTGCCAAAAAAAGGCATGCGTATGGCAAATAATTAGTCACTAGTTTTGCCTGTGATATCCCTGTACCAGATCTTATTCCCATTACTTGCTTAATATGCCTTGTTCTCCACTGTGTCTTCAGAGACAGCCATCTGTTTTTTTTTTCCAATGTCAGAGCCTCCAGCAAGGAGAACACAGAGCAGCGCAGTAGTTATATCACCAAATCTCATAAGACTAGCATTCAGTGGCAGCAGTACCTTAGCTCTCACACCGCAGATATAAAGCTAGGAGGCTGTAGGGACACGTGCATACCAGGCAGTTGCACTGCTATTTTTCAGGAGGCATTCCAGACAGTAATTACAGGCACTGCATAGGAAATCTTTACTTTTGAGTTGAGTTCTACTTTGAACTGCAGTCTCAATGTCTTTAGATTTACACAGACTTTTTTTTTCTACCTGTAATCCTCCAAGCAGAAGAGAGCAATAGACAATAAGATACATTTACATTTTTATTGTTTTCAAACACATCTCTGAAATTTCAACTGCCTCATTCACTCTATTCCTTTTTGATTAGTTTGATCTTTAGTTTTATTTATATTGTATTATATGAATAATTAAATCAAGTTTTATAAAAAAAATAAAAACCTCATACTGTTGGGTCTGGGTATGCTATATGAGGCTGGTAATACATGTGGTGTCTTTTCCATAAAATTCAATCAAGATTCAAAAATCATGAAATTCTATAGTCAAATTATCTCTATCCTTGTGTGTTGAGTGCTCATTATTGCGTCAGAAGCAGGCACTCATGTAAATGTTATGACACTATATAAAATGATTCTACATCTGGTGTGTTTCTAGTCCTCTCCAGTGGTGCATTGAGGAGATATTTCCACTGTTATACAACATTTTCTTGGTTGTCACTGGTGGA